GATCGAGCCCCACATCGGGCTCCCTGCTCAGCGGGGAGCCTGCTTCTCCCTCTGCCTCTGCCTGCCCCTCCTCCTGCGCGCGCGCTCTCTCTCTGACCAATAAATAAATAAAATCTTAAAAAAAATGTTTAAGACCTACCTACCTTCGAGGCAGGGCTGGCTTCACAGGCGCACGACCTCTGCATTAAATGAGATGGTCTGCAATTGCTTAGCCCAGGACCCAGCCTGCAGCAGGTGCTCAATGGGGGTTAGGGAAGAGGGACCGGGCTCAGGAGGGAGGGAGAGGGGACCCAGTGACACCATGCCATGGGGTTCCCGTGTGCTCAAAGGGACTCAGTGGGAGGCAGGCAAGAGAGGCTGGGCCAAGAGCACAGGTTTGGATGTCAGGAGGCCTAGAATCTTGTCAAGTTTCTGCCGTTTCTCAGGTCTTAGTTGCTTTCTCTGAAGCATGGTGCCAAAATCCCACACCAAAACCCCCACTCTCAGAGTTGTATGGTGGGTGAGGACGTGAATGCTGAGGCCCTCCTTGGCCTCTTCTCTACAACATCACCAATTGCCTTGGGAGAAAAGTAGAGGACTCTGGGCATGGGGCTGGCCCTCAGAGGGACAATGGCGGAACCCCATCCCCAGGGATGCCAGCAGGGAGAGCCCTGGCTTCTGGCTCTATCTCTGCCACTTACCTGCTGGATGCAAGGTCACTGAGCTTCAGTTTCCTTGCTGATACTCATGGTAAAGATTAATGCTCCTTCCACAAGCATCAACTTCCTTTGTGTTGGGGGGCATCGTGCCTGTGGCATCCGCTTTGTAAGTGATCGGGAGGCAAGATGGTGCAGTGACTCCCTAAGCAGGATCTGGAGGCAGAGAGGCTGGTTCATAGGCTCTACCAGCTTTGTCACCTGGGACAAATTACTTAACCTCTCCGAGCCTCAGTTTCCTCATCTGTGAAGTAGGGATAATTCCAACAATAGTAACTTCTTTCCAGAATTGTTGTGAGGATAAGGGCAGTCATGCGTGTGAAGGTGGCCCCAAGCAAGAGGCCACTATGTTAGCCATCATGGTGACAATACTGAAGATGTAGCTTATTCCCAGTATTCCTCCACACATACGTGACTCCAGGAAAACAAGGAGACAAAACATCTTTGTGCCAGTGAAGGTCTCCCAAGCAGGTAAGGACGGGAAGGCAGTTAGTGGGGAAGGAAGTCCAGTGTGGGTGTGCGTGTTATGCATGTGCTTGCGTGTGTGCAGGTGTCAGAGCCGTCCGGGCCCCCCAAGTGGATCTAGCCTTGCACAGACGGGCAGGGAGAGGAACACCTTCTGTGGTGGTCAGTTTCTTCTCTGTCAAACACAGGCCCAGAAGAGACAGTCTCTAGAGGCTCATCCAGCTTTCTCGTTCTAGAATTGTAGAAGGAAGAGAAAGGATGGGAGGACTAAGCAAAACTGTAAAATAATAAAAGTTGGCTTTTTTTGTTTTGTTTTGATTTTAGTGATCCGGCCTGCTTTGGTGACAACCCCTCCCCACCCCCCCACCCCCAGCTCTGGGGCCCTCAGGTCTCGTTCCCAGGGTAAGAGCCACTATCACTGGAGTGTGAATGACCACCTGTTATTCTGTTCTTTCTCAAGGGTCTTTGCACAGTAAGTGGATCTTTCAGTGGAACTGTGAACAGAGTTTTAGGCAGCAGTGATGGGGTGTGGAGATTTGGGGAGAAGAAATTCGGGGAGACTTCTCTGTGCTTCTGAAATCTTCCCAGGAAGAGGGTCATAGTTGGGGCTAGTTTTATGGGATAACACAGAGCTATAGAGCTCAAGCTCTATTCCTACTAAGTGAGAACAGTGCTCCAGAGCCCAGCAAAGGAGGCACCCAGGTCTCCTGCGTGCAGTAGCCTGGGATGTGCAGAGCAGTGTGGCCCCTGCCTCTTCCAGAAGGGCACCCTGGGAGCGGCCAGGAGGCAGAGAAACTGGGCAGGGCCAGATCAATGGTGCCCTGTGACTGTCCCAGTGGAAGAGGTTTCTCTCCTCTCACACCAGCACTGGTCTCCCAGGGGGCTGTGTCCCAGGAGATGTACATTGGGGGATCTTCAAACAGGCTGCTGGTTTTACAGCTCCAGAGAGGTGGAGGGGGGTGAGTGGTGGAACCACAGCCCTGAGGGTCTTCGATGGCACAGTGAAAGCAGCAAGGCAGATGGAACCAGGCCGACCTGGCTGTGCATGCCAGCCCCAACTTAGCCTGTGACTGGACGCGGTTGTGTCTGCTCAGGAAGCCTCAGTTTCCTTGGGGATTGGATGAGTTTAATATTACCCACCTCATAACATCGCTGTAAAGTCCTTGTGGGCTAATAACAGGGAATTTGCACTTGGTAGAGGCTGAACAAATATGAATTCTTGACTTGGCTTCCTGGCATCCCAGGAGAGGTGACTATGCCGCCTCTCCCCTTAAAATGGTCACAAAGATTGTTTTTTTCCTCTGGGTGATGATGAATTTCTCCTCTTGGCAGGAGAGGGTTAAAGTTGAGGCCTAAGATTCTGATGGAGCTATCCATCCTCTCCTGGTGACCTTCATCTTTGAGTTATTGATTATTCCCTTGTTCCTGGCCAGGTGCTGGAAGTCAGGCCAGGCTTCGGTGGCCTGAGGGAGAAGCTAATGGTCCAGGCACACAGCCTAGCTCACCAGTATGCTCACCTCGGCCCCCCATTACAGGGCTGTGCACCCAGATACACAGACATCACGTGTATACAAACTCTATACTCAGGCCACGCTTTTTGGTTGTCCGCCCCGCAGTAGACCCACAGGGAGCAAACACACACTGAGATACACACAGGAATCTCCAGATGATACACACACAGACACATGTAGACCTCCCTCCACATTCACACACAGGGGTCCGTCCTCACAGGAAGGACGCAGCATACACAGAGGCTGACAACACAAGGCCACAGCCAGGAACAATAATGACCATAGTTAAACATATTGCACACTTACTATATGCCGAGTATTCTTCTAAGCCTTTCCCAGAGAATCGTTTTAATTCTTACAGTTAGTAGAGATAGCTATTATTTTATCCCTTATTTCACAGATGAGGGAACTGAGGGACAGAAAAGTAAAACAAGAGGCCTTAGGTCACAGAGTGGCCTGGCTCAGACGCAAGCACAGATTGCCTTCCCCCTCGCTCCTCAACCTCATTTATTTACAAAGACACAGCCGCAGCATTGCCCCTCCCCCGCCCCCCCAGACCTGCTCCACACACACTCAGGGTGGGCGCCCTTTGGGAACTAGGAGGCAAAGACGCAAGACCTGGCTTGTCGGCACAGCGAATTCAGACCGGGGACAGGACCACGTTTCAAAGGTAGTGGCGTGATCAGAAGCCTTGCGGGACGACGACGGGACAGCCAGCGTGAAGCGCTAGACACAGCGCGGGCTGCGGATGGGCTTTCACGGGCTGTGCGGTGGATCGTCGTCGGGCAGGGGGCTTAGCGTGCGTGGAGGGCCTAGCCCGGGCTCCCCGCAAAGTCTCTCCCTTGGCTGCACCCATTTCCCGGAGAGCAGCCTAGAAGCTCGAGGACAAACACCCTTAGATTTTTAGTAGAAGGGCCGCCGCGCTCCACCGCGCCCTCAGGCCGACCGGCCCGCAGGGACCTGGGCAGGGGTCTGGGGTTCCAGTGGAGACATTGTACCCGCAGGCGCGCACCGCGTCCCGCCCAGGCACGCACCAAGTTCTTGGTACACCTTTTAACGGGAAAACAACAGCCATCATGGTTAGATACATGTTATTTATAATTCATGGGCTAGTCTTTGAACCCTTTCAAACAAAACCCACAGCGATTTCTTTGAAAGAAAAAAATGGTTGCACTCTGCTCAGAAGTCTTGGGTTTTCTAAGGACCCACGAGCCGCTGCACAGATAGTAAATTACCCCGCGCACCACATTTGTTTCTGATTATTTGCGTTGCAGTTAGTTCGTGAAATGAAACAGAAGAGTTTATAAAAATCGCTTATTTGGGAAGTAGGACACACATTCGACCCCAGCACTGTTCCTAGAAGGAGCTGAGCTATTCGGGTAGGGGAAAGATGAGGGGAGTCCGTATCAAATTAACCTCCCTCTCCCTGCCCAAGTCTCGAATCAGGATCCGATAAGCGTCTTCGGATTTTGCGTTCTGGCGCTACCCACCTAATGCTCCAACTTGGATAAGTTTTCCACGGGGGCGGTGGGGGGGGGGGAGGTAGGAGGGGATAGGGAAGGGGAAGTCCAAAAAGAATTTATCCAAACCTCCAGTGGTCGTTCTCTAACTTCTCTCTCTGCCTTGGACCCTGAGGACAAAGGCGCACGAGAAGAGAAAGGTGACCGGCTGGACGGTGATGGTTGTATCCAAATAGACCGCCCTTTCCACCCAGTTCCAAAACAGTGGGTTTTTATTTTTATTTATTTTTTTATTTGTGAAAGAAGGGAGCATTTAAAGGAGAGGCCTCTCCCTGCCTACACTCCTCAGGTATCCATCACCCCGCTCGGGCACGCCTGGGGAGACCGTCCGGCAAGTCCAAGAGGAAGCTCAGAGCTGCGGTGGCCACGGAGCCAGCTCGGCGGTGACGCAAGGTCCAGCAGGGATAGCCCGACCCGGGGTAAGGGAGAGGATCCTTGTAGATTTCGGACGAGGGGGCTGCGCTCCATTGTTTACTCCGGACCAATCAGGGTTTGCCTATTTCCTTGCAGCCAATCCCCCGTCACCCTCGCCTTCCTCCCAAGCCACCCCGCCCAACAGCCCCCAGGTCCCCATTACCTCCCCCGCATCCCCCCGCGGTTCTGGGGAAGCTTCGTGACGCCACAGGTCCCGCCCCCAGCTCCGGCCCCGGGCGAGTGCGTGCTGACGTCATGCTGCGTGCGGGCCGGTGCGGAATCGCTCCTTCAACTCAGCGGGGCAGGAGGAGTTAGTTACCAAAGAGCCGAGGCTGGGCGCGCGACCCTCGTCCTTCTGCCCCTGGCCGCACACTTTGCGCACATCTCTTTTCTGCATGGTGGATATTATTTTTCATTATCCTTTTCTGGGTGCTATGGGGGATCATTCCAAGAGTAAGTCTTTCTGTGTGTGGGTGTGTATGTGTGTGTGCTTACTATGCAATATTTCTAATGCAGAAGAATGTTTAGCGGATTCTACAAGTGGCTTCTATTTGACAGGACGCTGGGAGAGAAAAATCAAAACGAATGCATTTCTCCTGCAGGCCACTTATCCTTTGGAATCCTGTTGTTTTAATTTACAATTAAACGTTCTCAATGTTAGGCTGCTAGGATGGCCTCAGGCTGTGAAATCTGCTTCTCTTTTGCGCTAAGGCAATTAGGTTTGATTTGGGGATGTGAGCTTGCGTGCCTTTTGGCTTTTCGAAGAAGACAGATTTCTCTAGCTTGATCTGGGATATTTAAGAATGTCAGAGAGGACGAGAAGAGACTCCGCTGAAAGCTGATGGGTCTGTGTTGGGATTGGAGGTAGTCGCTGTAAGAGGGAGTATGTGGACAGAAATGCCGGAACATCACCGTTCAGTATTGATGCGGTGGCGTCCGCAGTGCTTAAATGTCTTTATTCTTTCTTCTCACCTGTTAGCTTTTAGTTACAAGATATATGGATAAAACGACTGTGTCCAAATGAATTTAGTAGCAAAAAAAAAAAAAAAAAAAGGGGGGGGTGAAGGGGAGACAAAAACCCTCAAATTCAGAAGATTTTGTTTTTTCGTTTCCAATTGTTCGGACGTTTAGAAAACCCGCTTTTCCCTGTAATCGCAATTCTTGAAAGGGAACGAGCGAGCCAGTTGGGTTGGGGCTGGAGTGGCCGAGGCCCGCCCGGGTCCGGGCAGTCTGGCCTGACGCGGGCCCCGCGCCTTTCCCCGGCAGAGAAGCCCGGGACCGCCATGTGCGTGGGCTGCGGGAGTCAGATCCACGACCAGTTTATCCTGCGGGTGTCGCCCGACCTGGAGTGGCACGCCGCCTGCCTCAAGTGCGCCGAGTGCAGCCAGTACCTGGACGAGACGTGCACGTGCTTCGTGAGAGACGGGAAGACCTACTGCAAGCGGGACTATGTCAGGTGAGGCCCGCGAGAGCCGGGGCTCAGCTACCGCCTGCGGGGGCTGGGGCTGCAGGCGGTGGCTCGTCTGCGCTCCCCGGCCTGGGGAGAAGGCCACCCCCCCACTCCGAACGTGTGCCGCCGTGCGCGTCTGGGCCCGCGAACTCCCCGAGGGCCGGTCCCCGCAAGCTCCCTGTGGGCCACAAAGCGTCCTGGACGCGCGTGCCCGGAGCCCGTTGCAGCCCGGGAAGCGAGGCGGGCCTCAGGCCCCTGCCTGACCCCGACCGCGCCTTGGGCCCGCAGGCTGTTCGGCATCAAGTGCGCCAAGTGCCAGGTGGGCTTCAGCAGCAGCGACCTGGTGATGCGGGCGCGGGACAGTGTGTATCACATCGAGTGCTTCCGCTGCTCCGTGTGCAGCCGCCAGCTGCTGCCCGGCGACGAGTTCTCGCTGCGGGAGCACGAGCTGCTCTGCCGCGCCGACCACGGCCTCCTGCTGGAGCGCGCCGCGGCCGGCAG